GGTGGACACCCTTGCGCATGTTCTGAATCTGCGCTTTCTGCGTCTTCAGCAGCATCTTGAGTCTGACCGCCCAGGCAGTCTTGGCCACGGAGATGCGAGGGCTCGGACAGGCATGGCTCCAACAGAAGTTCCCTTGGAAACTCGCAACACGAAGTATATGTGCGCACGCCCGTCGGCGAGATGAGTTGTCGCGCGCGCGCGCCCTGAGCGCTCGCGCGCGCGTGGTCCCAAGACGCCCCCACGGCTGCAACGTGATTCCAGGAGGGCCTGAGGCCAATGGCGATAACGCCCAGCCGCCCCTGGGATGACGCCACCCCAACGCGATCCCGCCATGGATTCTGGACCGTCTCAGGCCGGCCAAGAGACGACTAAACAATGGAGCCGCGAGAGAAGCCGAGATGGCCCGATGGGAAGATGGATCCGCGCGCGCCCAGGGCGGCCCCATAATGGACACGCGACGGCTGCGCGATCCAAGCGTGGTCGGGATATGATCTCAAGATGACCTGAAGACGACCTTGACACGACAAGAATGCTACAACTCCCGGGCCTAAACTTACTTCGAGCCTATCCTAGCATGGCGGGGTCTGCGAACGACCCCGGATATTTGTTTACCAATTTTTACTGGGTGGGATTTTAGCCTGGCTGAACTAAAATTACAATATAAAAGGGTAGTAAGTCAGGCGGTATCCCGCCCGGCCCGCGGCAGAAGACTGCATTGCTAGGCTTCTACAGGGAGGAGGGGGGCTCGGACGGAGCGCCATTCACTCCCGCTGTCTTCCGCAAGCTTTCTGACGGCCTTCCGCCGTCTCGTTTTATCCCTGAGATGATCCATCCTCCCTACCTCGTTTCTCATTCCCGACCTCCTGCTGCTGCTGTGATTCGGCCTCGCCCTTCTCATCCGCGTCCCAGTCTTCTTGCGCGCCATCTTTCTTACGATCTTCTGTAGTGCGCCACTCGCCACTACATATGGTCGGCTCATTCGTCAGGAGATGCGTTCCACATGGATGTTCCAGCAAGGAATATGTTCCACATAGATGTTCCACTCAATACGTCGTATTTTTCAAAATGTATTCCCGTTTGCTCCCGTCGTTCAGAGCGAACGGTACTCTCGTACCCGCGCGGGTCTAGTTCTTGGATCCAGATCAATCCTCGTCGTTGTCAACCGCTCCTTTCCCCTGCTCCGCCTTCCCCTGGTCCTCCTGCTCCGTCTCCTGCTGTTGCTGCTGCTGCTCCTCCTCCTCCTCTTCCTCCTCCTCTTCCTGCTCGTTTCCCACTCTCCTCTTCCTCCTGGCCCGTCGGCCGATGAAGAGAAAGTGAGCGCAATGGGAAGCGACGGGCTCAAATGATTAGGATGTCTGATGTGGCGTGAGCGCACCTACCTTGTCCCCCTCCCTGCTGCCTCTCTCCCTGCCCCCCTTCCTCTCCGTCCGACCGTCCGTCCTCCATCTTTGGGGATCTCACCGCCTGGCACGAACATGCGCGGGCAAGAGGGGGTAGGGGAGACGTAAGACTCAGGTACGGGAGACTCGGGTTGGCCCGACGGGGCCATCATGAAAATGACGAGGCCCAACCTGAAATTTGACGCGAACCCCCGCTGCAAACATCACACGAACACCGGACCGTCAAAATCCCAGACGCGCTCCTCGAAAAAATGTGGCAAACCCGAGATCCGGCTTACTCGAGCCTTCCGTTTCCCCGAGAAGGGGGGGGGGTAGGGGGAGGGGGGTGGGCAACCGGCGCTGCGGCTCGACGGGCGAGCGGCAGAGGGATGCAGCGGGCGCTCGCTCCTGCCGCACTCCCTCCCCCATCTGCCCGTGCCCGCCCGCCCCCCCCCCTTGCCGGAAGGCGCCCGCGGAAGGCCTGGGGCAGCAGGGGAGCGAGGCCCCGAACACAAGACACGAGGAGACTCTTCAAGGCCAGGGCTGATCATTATCCTCGTGCCGGCTAGAGGGGGAGAGGAGGGAGTGGCAAGGAGAAGCAGCTGCGAAATCAGCCACACGCAAGGGTGACCCTAGGACAGGATGACCTGTGGTGTGCGGCTTGCCTATCGGTGCGCGCGATGCGACAGAGCGGCCTGCGTGCCTGGGCTGGGCTTGGCGAAGCCAGTCTCACATGTTCACGGTCGAGAAGGTTTTCTGAGCGTGTCGCGGCGGCGGCCCTGGCGACACGGTGCGCCGTGCGAGCGGACAGCTTGTCGCTCCGCTCTCCGCGGGGCGGGGTGGGAGGCACGGAAGGGCTCGAGACGTCGACGCTGGGGTTCGGGAGGTGGAGACGTAACGTGTCGCACCGAAGCGTGGTGGGCCAGGACCGGCGGAGCGGCACTCCAAGCCCAAATTCCAGACCGCATCATGGATGTCAACGTGTCGCAACAAAAATCTCCCGTCGGCGTCTCCGTGGAATGAACCGGGGCCAGGGCCCCCCTCTGGCACGTGCGGGGACTTTGGCGCGGGGTTGCTGAAAGTGCTGGCGCGGTACAAACAAAGTTCCAGCATGCCGATTCCTTCCGCGACATGTTCAACTCCTGCTCCAATTCGGGCGGTTCATGTGCCCCTTGTGACCCATGAAGGGCCGCATTATTGAGCCAGGTACGGCGTGCACCAACTGTTCATGCTCGACATTGGAGATCCCAAACGCCTGCTGGGTCAAGGACCGCCACTCGGAGGGTCGTCTGAAGGCGAAAAGGCAACCCTTTGTTTCCTCACCCCTCCTGAGATGGTGGATCCTCGTTTTGAGCCCGCAGCGCCGCGCGGCGTCCACTCCTCCCTCCCGCTAGCCCCCTCCCGCTCTCTTTCCTCCATCAATTCGGCGCGCCACTACATGGATTGTGTACGATGGCGAGCTCCAACTACAAGTTCAGTCTGGGGCGCCCGCATGCAGTTCCTGTGTCCACCCCTTGTACGGTTCTTGTCCCATAGGGAGTACCACCTACAATTCCAGTGAGGGCGCCCGCATGCGGTCTCCTCCTCCCATCTCGGCACACCTCTGAGACGGATCGTGCCTCCCAGCAGTTCAAGCCAGCCCGCATGCAATTCCTCCGCCCGCTTCGGCACACTCCTCACACAGGCTGTGCACCACCGGGAGCTTTTCACGTATACTTCCAGTGAGGGCGCATGTCTTCTGCCCCCCGCTGATTTCGCACACCCCTCACATGCAACGTGCCCGATACGGAGTTCCACATACAGGTCCCGTGCGGGCGCGCCCGCAGGCTACCCCCACGCCACTTCTGGCTGACCCCTCGCACGGATCGTGCCCCATGGGGAGCTCCACCCGCGACTCTGGCGGGCGTCCTCGCACGCGTGCCCCCGCCCGCCTCGGCACACCCCTCGCGCGGGGCTGGAGGGTCAAAGAATGGCAAAAACACAAACTTTTGATGGCCGCGCGGATCTCCTGGATCTGCGCTGGACCCCCCTCCCGAATTGCGTCAGGAGCGGCGCCGGAGGCGCCGCCAGGGGGCCCCAAAGTTTATGTGTCGCCGCGCCATGTGGTCTGAATGCGTTCACATCGACGAAGCTGGCACCGCGGCAAGCCACACTGCAAACCTTGCGTCCGAGGCGGACTCAGCCCTGGTGGCCGCGGCGCCCGCCCCAAGACGAATGGCCGCGCGTCGGGACAGACGTCGCGGCGATATCTTGATGCCGTTTTTTGGCGGCGCACGGAAGGGAGTAAGTAGGGAGAGGGGGGACGGCTTCTTAGAAGGAGGCTACTTCTTAGAAGGCGCTGGCCCTACATCTACAGACAAGGCCCGCGCCTTCTAAGAAGCAGGGGTGCTTCTAAGACGCCTTCTCCCCTCCCCCTACCCCCCCTACCCCCCTCCCTCTCCCCCCCCTCCTCCCCCCCCCTCTGAGAAGCCTTCCCCGCTCGAAGATCGGGCCCCATAGGGAGCTCCGCGCGCTCTGCGCGCCCTGCGCGCCTGCTCCGCAGCCTCCCGACCCTCATTGCCCCGCCCCCTTCCTATACCTCGGCGGCGAGCCCCCGGGGGGGTAAGGGAGAAGGGGCGATGGAGCGATATCAAAAAAAAAGCGGGGGGGGGGGGGGGCAACAGGAGGAGCCCCCACCCCCCCTCCAACACCGTGCACGAGCAAGGGGGGGGGGGGAGGGCGAAAGGGGGAGCCCCCCCCCTCCCACCTCCCAGAAGGGGCGAAAGGGGGCGAATGGGCGGACCCTCTCAGAGGGCACGGAAGGTCACCGGTCTTCCTGAGAGGTTTTCGAAGCCGTGCCTTGCCCGCAGGCGTAGAACACCTCGCCGCAGGCCTTCGGAGAAGCCCCGCCGCCTGGTGAGAGGGTCTTCTCCTTCGCGCTTCCCCCCCCCCCCGCCGCCGCCTTTTGAGAAGGCCTTCTCCTTCTCACTTCCCCGCCCCGCCGCCTTTTGAAAGGGCCTTCTCCTTCGCGCTTGCGCCCCTCGCTCGCCGCCGAAGTGAGGAGAGGGCCACGCCCTGCGCGACACACGCATCTGCGCAGGGCTGGGCCCTTCGCCGGGCAGTGCCTGCTCCGACCTGGGGACGTCCGGGTGTGGGCCGGGCGGCGTGTGGGAACCACCATCCCTAAGACGAAGCCAGGATATGAGGCGACGAAATATATACATATACACTGCGCCCTGGCCAGGCCCAGCCTGAACCCATCAGCGGTGTATACGCTACGCCCTCCTGGCGTGGCCAGGAGGGCGTATACACAGCGCATGGGTTCAGGATGGGCCTGGCCAGAGACTCTCAATGTATTCTCGGGCGGCTAAATCTATACATGTCCATTGCTCCCTGAGATCTGGCGGCTCTGGAGGATGTCTCGGGCGCGGCGACCTTCTCAGAGCGTTCCGGAACGCTCTGGGAGCATCCCGCAACGCTCTGGAACGGATGTATCCTCGTCCTGGCCCCGCCCGATCACCACCACCCTCGGATGGTTCTCGAAATTGTTCGCCTCCCCCCGCCTTCTGTTGTCGCGCAGAGCGACTGGGGACCGGAAAGCGGATTCCTTCGACCCTCCTGTCATCAGATTGAACAGCGATTGGCATTTTCCCATCTGCGAGGGACGCTCTGCCGAGTCTGCTGGTTGCTCCCAGTGCACAGCAATTGCAGTCGCACGGTGCAAGAATATGCTGTACCCCCTGGAGTGAAGTATCAACACTGCTGCGAGCGATGATGCAGGTGCCGACCAGCCCCACTCGAAGCTGATGAGCACGGGAAGAAAATCGTGAAACTTTAAGAACTCCAACAGAATGCCGACGTCATGTCCCTCTGCATCAACATGAAAGATGTCAGCGTCCGCAAACGTTGCATTTGCCTCACTCAGCAATCTTTCCGGAACGAGGCACCGCACGGGCACTCGCTCAGCGTATTCTTTTAGCCATGGCTCTGGGCTGTAGAAATACAACAAACTTCTCTGGAACTGGGCCTGGTCGAGCGAGGCTATCTCGTTCATTTGCTGGAACTGCAGCAACGTCAAATTAAAATCCTTCCTCAGCCTACGGGAAAAGCAGTGCAGCATGGCCGTCTTTCGGTGACCACCCGCTGGCTTGGACCAGATTGCCTGGATTAGGAAGGGGCTGCAGACACGTTTTCTGCACCGTCAATGCTGTCATGCGGACGCACGCGCGGGGCTTGTGGGGGCCGCGGGTGCGAGCCCTGCGATCGTGGAAACAATGCATGGGATCCCCCCCTGGATCGAGGCCGTCTTCCTAGCCATCGGGCGGTCCTCCAAGGGCACGCTGATGGGGGGGCACAGCTATCACCAAATGGCGAATTTGCCGAAATGTATCTCCATCACGATCTCTGGGTCTCTGGCCCTCCATGCGCTCTAGAACCAATCCCTGGAATCCTTGCATGGTTCTTCCGCAACTCACTCGCAGTTGCCATGCTGTTTCCCACGCTGTTGCTGTCGCCCGGTCCTGATCTCATCTCACGCCCGGCTATGATGCTCTTGAGGCCGATTTCAGCGGTCCGCATACGATCCTGGCCACAATCGTCACCTCCCCGCCCGGGGCGCGGCCAGGATGCGGGTGGGCCCCTCTGGGGCGAGGAGGATCGTGCGATTGTGGCCAGAACCGCCAGCGGAGCGCCATAGCTCCAGCCTCGAAAGCTTGACAGCTGGGCGCACGGTGAGAGACCCAGACATCCTCCGATCTGATTGCAGCCCGCTGCCCCAAGGAGGTCCCGACTCCTTCCCTGGGGGCACTTTTTCGGCCAGGAGCTGTCCCTGTTGGGATCCCAGGGGCCGATGACGGACCCAGAGGCCGGAAGCGAGGAAACACGTCGGGAATGCAATGCTCATGCTATCGGAGATCTGAGGACAGCACCGTGCCCGCACCACCTTCACCACACCGGCGTGCCCTGTGCGTCCCGCCCATGCCGGGGGTGCACGCTGCCGCTGCGAGCACCCTGCTCTCGCCGGCGCCCAGCTGCCGGCCGCGCCGCCGCAGGCCCGAAAGCATCGCCGCGTTCGGCTCCACGAGCACCGCCCGGAAGGCGCCGAAGAAGGGCCGCAGGTAGGGGCCGTATGCTGGGGACCAGGTGGCGGACGGCCAGGTTTAGGTCGGGCGTGTCCTCCTACAGGCGGACCTTGGACGAAAAGTCCCTCCCCCCAAAAAAGCCAAAACATGTTTGTTGCAAAATGTGTTAAGAATACACAAAATCGTCCCCAGACTATGTTTTGCATATTCCTCCTGTAGAGGGACATGCCCAACTCAAGGCCAGGTGGCCTCGATCAGGGCATGGCTTCTCCACCCGGCGGCGGGCCCAGGGGGGAAGCGAGAGGGGGCCCTGGCCCTCTCGGGAGGCGGCGTGGCCTCGTAGAAGTCCTCACGCCTTCTGAGAGTCCTGCTGTGGCTCCACGGAAGGCTCACAGGGCTTCTCAGCAGGGCGCCAGGGCTTCTGAGAAACCGCGCCGCCTTCTGAGAAGGCCTGCCGCCTCTCACTTCCTCCGCAGACGCGGGACACGCGCATGCACGGCTCGAAATCCTGTCCGGATCGGGGCCATCTGGACCCAGCCGGTCCCCGAGTATGCGTGGATCTCAGCGGCAAGGTTGTTCGTGCCAATGCTGATGATCAGGGGGCACAAAGAGCACCACTCCCCCGCGCCAGCACCTAGAGGAGTATTCTCCACCGCCGAATGCGGCCTCTGAACAAAAATGTTCTGGGATCTGACCTTCGCGCAGACGGGGCTACTTGAGCCCCATGATGCCAGAGGATTGATCTGGGCTGCGGTCGTCGACGTTTACAATTAAAGCTCCGATGCCGTCGTGTTCGGTTTGAAATCGGCTCAAGATGGGGGACCTTGACGCGCCACATCGATCTGTGATAGACCCTGGGCCCAAGACTGCCCCCAGGAAACCGAAGATTGCGACTCTGGGCAGCAAGCCCCCATGCTCCGACATTCCGATGTCGAAAACAGCCCAGTGTTTGTTCTAGTCCTCTAGTGGGTCTCGATAATAATTCTCCATTTGTGAGATCGAGACACACGTGTGGGGGCCAACCCTTGAAATATCGAGATCCACCTTGCGGGATATACCGTCCGATTGCGCCCTGGCCCTCGGACCTTGCGCTAGAACTCGGACGCAACTTTCTTTCACGGACAACATTTGAGAGAACTTTCGCTCCTTGGCCGCCAGCCCGGGTGCTCTCTGTGCCACCCCGAAATAAACAGCGGCACCTGCGCCGCCTGCAGCCGCCGCGCGAAGCGCAAGGCCACCGCGGCGCGCAGCTCCTCGCGCTGCGCCCCTGCCAACGCTGGAGCTGCGCGCACCCACTGCTGCAGCTCGCCCGGGTCAGGACGCGTCGGGGACCGCCCTGCGGCCCCGAACTGATGGCCCCGACACCGGAAATGCTTCGGCTGCGGCAGGTTCGCGTCGTGTGACAGCCCCGGCGTTGCCTGCTGACACCGCGTGGACTGTTCAACAGTGAAAGATCGGCGGCGTCTCGATCGCCAGATCATTCCACGTGGGCCGATTCTGGACAACTGGCGACATTCAACCTTGAACGCCCGCGTTGGGGTCGCCGCCGCGTCGACGACATGACACGAACCTGCCGTACAACTCGTCCGTAGCCGCGAGGCTCGAGCGTCCACAGCGCGGGGGGGGGCCTTTGGCGCACGTGCGCCTCGAGATCGATACCATCTGTGCGGAGCCGTTGGGTGGTCCCCGAGGAAAGTCGAACGCGCTGGCGTCTAGCTCGCCCACCGGGGGGAACGAGTCTGCGCCCTTTACAAGCTCGGCACTTCTCCCGCGCCGATGTCCTCCAGATCCCAGCCGAGGGGCCTGGGCCCTTGGGACATCTTGTGAGGGGCAACGACAGGGGGGGGGACTGGCATAGGGGGGACGTACCGACATGAAATCGGCGATATATCGCCGATAGATCGGCGATAGGCTACCGATAGTGAATCCGCACGTTCCTGGGCAGTTTGGGGTTATCGGGCACCTATCGGCGATCAATGGGCGATTGGGGGTCGATGCATCCCCCCTATGCCTATCCCCCCCCCATCGTTGCCCCTGATCTTGCCTACAGCCTACCAGGGGCGGCCATCCGGCGACCCTTTAAGGCAAAACGAGAAACAACAGACAAGCTTTCAGAGGTCCGCGCGGAGCTCCGAAACTGAAGTCTCTGCTAGTGCCGCTCTTCATGGTCTTCGTGGGCAAACCAGAAAATGGTACGGATACAGCTGCTCCCCAGACCTCTTCTGAGGTGCGTTTTGACGATAATTTCGATGCGAATCCAGCGGTGGCGACGAGGGCCTCTAAAGAGGCCCAGTAAGGCGAAGGCGACCGAAGGGTAGCGGTATGGGTACCTCCTCTGATCCGAGGTCCGTGCGGAGCTCCGAAAAGCAAGTCTCTGCTCATGCCGCTCTTCTTTCGGGGGCGTCCAAGAGGGGGGCGTTCAAGACGGGGGGCCTCCAAGAGGGGGGAACGCAAATTATGGCCGGCGGCATGTGCGCGGCCCAGCGGGAGCGGTGGCCCGGGACGCATTGAAACAACATGAGGTGCCATGACATCTGGGGAGATGTCATGGCCCCCGCCATGACATCCGCCCCTCCCTGGTCGTCACCCCCCCCTTCCGGGGATGGACACAACCCCCTTTAGTAAAACGTGGCTTAGTGAAAACGACCTCGGGCACAGACCTGTTGGGCGCAAGCCTGGAAAATGACGGCCGCGGCGCCCTCTCGCGAACCGAAAACGGACAATTCACTCATCAACGTGTCAGGGTGGGGGTTCTGTCCGCCCCCGCCGACTCGCGGCCGCCCCCGATCCCTGGGGCCCCCTGGTGCCCCGCTTCTCCGAGGCACGCCCTCCTAGGCTCTCTGGCCCCGACGGGGGCGGCCCGCGGAGCAGTCGTCCATCTACGGGTTTCCCATACTCCCGAATCATGGGAAACCCACAGGTTGCCGGACCCCCATAATTCCGAATTCTGGGAAGCCCGTAGATGGACGACTGCCTCCTGCGGCTGCAGCTGCAGCTGCAGCTGCAGCTGCGGCTGCGGCGGCGAGCGGGATCCAGGTTCCGAATTATGGGAAACCCAGAAAGGTCGCCAGAAACCCCTTAGGGAATCTGACGACCTATGGGTTTCCCATGGTTCGGCCTGCGAATTATGGGAACCCCATAGGTTGCCAGAATCCCATAGGGAATCTGGCGACCTATGGTCTTCCCATACTTCGGAATTCTGGGAAACCCGTAGATGGACGACTGCCCCCCTGCGGCTGCAGCTGCAGCTGCAGCTGCAGCTGCGGCTGCGGCTGCGGCGGCGAGCGGGATCCAGGTTTCAGAATTCCGGGCAGACCATAGGTCGTCAGAAACCCCGAGGTTGTGTCATAACTCGGCGGGGAGAAGGATGGGAAACCCATAGGTCGCAGCTGCGGTTGCGGCTGCAGCTGCGGTTGCGGCCGCGGCTGCGGCGGCGAGCGGGGTCCAGGTTCCGAATTATTATGGGACACCCATTGGTCGCCACAAACCGCCAGGTAATCTGGCGACCTATGGTTTCCCAGTATTCGGCCAACCCACATGCCGCCAGAATCCCCCAGGGAATCTGGCGACCGATGGGTTTCCCATAGTTCGGCTGGGGAACACATAGATCGCAGCTGCGGCTGCGGCTGCAGCTGCGGCTGCGGCTGCGGCGGCGAGCGGGATCCAAGTTCCGAATTATGGGAAGCCCATAGGTCGCCAGAACCCCCTTAGGGAATCTGGCAACTTATGGGTTTCCCATAATTCGGAATTATGGGAAGCCCGTAGACCCACGACTGCCTCCTGCGGCTAAGGCGGCGAGCGGGATCCAGGTTCCGAACTGTGGGAAACCCATAGGTCGCCAGAACCCCCTAGGGAATCTGGCGACCTATGGGCTTCCCATACTTTGGCTGGGAGCACTATTGACAACCCATGGGTCGCAGCTGCGGCTGCGGTTGCGGCTGCGTCGGCGAGCCGGATCAAGTTTTGAATCGTGGGGAACCCATGGTTGCCAGAAGCCCCTCGGTAATCTGGCGACCTGTGGGTTTCCCAGGATTCGGTTCGGAGAATTATGGGGAACCGATCGGTCGCCATAATCCCCTGGGGGATATGGCGACCTATGGGTTTCCCATAACGCAGCTGAAAGAATTATGGAAACCCATGGGTCGCCAGAATTCCCCAAAGAATCTGGCGATGTATGGGTTTCCCATAATCCGGCTGGGGGAATGACGGGAAACCCCATACTCTGGCTGGGAGAATTATGGGAAACCCATAGGTCGCAGCCGCGGCTGCTGCTGCGGCAGCGAGCGGGATCCAGGTTCCGAATTATGGGAAACACATAGGTCGCCAGAAACCACTACGGAATCTGGCGACCTATGGGTTTCACATAATTCGGCCTGCGAACCATGGGAAGCCCATACGTTGCCAGACCCCCTAGGGAATCGAACAACGTATGGGTTTCCATGAATTCAGAATTATGCGAAGCCCGTAGATGGACGACTGCCTCCTGCGGCTGCAGCTGCAGCAGCAGCTGCGGCTGCGACAGCTAAGGTTGCGGTTGCGGTTGCGTCGGCGAGCGGGATCACGGTTCCGAATTATGTGAAAACCATAAACCATAGGTCGCCATAAATCCATTGGGAATATGGCGACCTATGGGTTCCCAATGATTCAGCTGGGAGAATTATGGTGAACCCATCGGTCACCCGAATCCGCTAGGGAATCTGGCGATCTATGGGTTTCCGATAATTCGGCTGGGAGAATTCTGAGAATTCCATAGGTCGCAGCTGCGGCTGCGTCGGCGAGTGGGGCCCAGGATCAAAATTATGTGAAACCCATAGGTCGCCAAAAACCCCTAGAGAATAGACCGGCCCCATTGGTTTCCCATAATTCAGCTGGGGGAATTATGGTAAACCCGTAGATGGACGACTGCCCCCTGCGGCTGCAGCTGCAGCTGCGGCTGCGGCTGCGGCTGCGGCGGCGAGCGGGATCCAGGTTCCGAACAATGGGAAACCCATAGGTCGCCAGAAGCCCCTAAGGAAACTTGCGACGCATTGGGTTTCCCATAATTCGCGGCGGCGGGCGGGGTCAAAGTTCCGAATTATGGGAACCCCAATGAGGTCACCAGATTACCCGGGAGTTTCTGGCGACCTATAGGTTTCACATAATTCGCCCAGTCCAGCGGCCCCGTGAAATATCACAGAATTGCAGACGCCGCGCAATTATGTAACATTCGCATCCGAATTCGCTTGCGAAGTGGGGGCGGCGGGCAAATTCCAGGATCCGAATTATGGGAACACACATAAATCACCAGACTCCCCTAGGGCATCTGGCGACCTATGGGTTTCCCAGTTTCCCATACTTCGCGGCGGCGATGGGGTGTCCAGGTTAAGAATTAAGGGGAACCCATAGGTCGCCGGATTCCCTAAGGGGGTTCTGGCGACCGATGAATTTCGCATAATTCGCGGCGGTGAGCGGCATCCAGATTCAGAATTCCGGGGAACCCATGGGTTGCCAGAAACCCCACAAGGAATGTGGCGACCTATGGGTTTCACATAATTCTGAATCGTGGGCTACCCGCAGATGGACGACTGCCCCCTGCCGCTGCAGCTGCAGCTGCCGCTGCGGCTGCGGCTGCGGCGGCGAGCGGGATCCAGGTTCCGAAGCAGGGGAAAACACATAGGTCGCCAGAAACCCACAGGAAATCTGGCGACCTGTGAGCTTCCCACAATTCGGCTGGAAGAATTATGAGGAACCCATCGGTCGTTGCTGCAGCTGCAACTGCGGCTACGTCTGCGGCAGCGGCTGCTGCGGCAGCTGCGGCTGCGGCTGCGGCTGCGTCGGCGAGTGGGATCAAGGTTCGGAATTATGGGAGACCCATAGGTCGCCAGAAACCCTTAGGGAATCTGGCGACCTATGGGTTTCCCATAATCCGGCATGATGGGGAATCCGTAGGTGGACTGCTGCCCCCCGCGGATGCGGCTGCAGCGGCAGCCGCGGCTGCGGCTGCGGCGGCGAGCGGAATCCAGATTCTGAATTATGGGGAGCCCATGGGTCGCCAGAAGCCCCTCGGGAATCTGGCGACCTATGGGTTTTCCATAATTCGCGACGGCAGGCAGGGTCCAAATTACCAATTATGGTGGGCCCATCAGTCGCAAGAACCCCCTAGGGAATATGGCGACCTATGGGCCTCCCAGAATTCGCTCACGCCAGCGGCACCATGAAATTTCACAGATTTTGAAACGCCGCGCAATTACGGGGCACTCGCATCCGAATTCGCTCGCGAAATGTGGGCGGCGGGCGGACTCCAGGATCCGAGTTATGGTGGGAAACACAGTAGGTCGCCAGAAACCCGTAGGGAATCAGGCGACCTATGGGCTTCCCATAATTCGCGGCGGCGAGCGGTGTCCAGGTCAGAATTATGGGAAACCTATGGGTCGCAAGATTCCCTAAGGTTTTCTGGCGACCCATGGGTTTCCCATAATTCGCGGCGGCGAGCGGGATCCAGGTTCAGAATTATGGGGAGCACATAGGTTGCCAGAAACCCGTAGGGAATATGGCGACCTATGGGTTTTCCAGAATTCGGATTTATGGGCCACCCGTAGATGGACGGCTGTTCCCCGCGGCTGCGGCTGCGGCTGCGGCTGCGGCTGCGAGCGGGACCCAGGTTTCGAATGATGGGAAACCCACCGGTCGCCAGAAACCCATCGGGAATATGGTGGCCTCTTGGCTTCGCACAATTCGGCTGGGAGAATTATGGGAAACCCACAGGTCGCCAGAATCCATCAGGGAATATGGCGACCTATGGGTTCCCAAAAATTGGCTGTAAGAATTTGTGGAAGCCCAT